GCAGATGTCTGTTCATCATGAGTGTGGTTCTGCTCATGGTTTCTGCTCTTAAAATGATGTTTCTTCTTGCCGCTGTAACTTCTCTAAGTGCTGTGTTCATGGTGGATTAAAGGTCACATATTGTGCAAAATACACTTTACCATGTTCCTCTAACACTCAAATGTGTCCCTAGTTTGTCTGCAAACCCTCCAATGATGAGAAAAAGTCCATCCTCTCAGTCTTTTCCCTGCTCCACTTTTCAGAAAATGTGTGCTCAAACAGGCCGTTTGGAGATTTTCCCTTCGTGACATCACAAAGGGTAGTAGTCCCTCCCCCAGGTGGGTGACACTCCACAGCAGAGTCTACCTTCACACTGTAAACATAAAGACATGGTGCAAGAAAGCCAGAGCCACGTCCACTTCCAGAGAGGGGCGTGGTCAGGCACAGCTCATTTACATATTTAAAGGTACAGACACAGAAACAGCCTGTTCTGAGCAGGGCTGAAATAGAGGGGTTTATAGACATGATCAAATACAGGATCAGAGTGGATTTAGAACAAGACACTTCACAGACATGTTTTGAGGAGCTCTGAGACTTATTTAAACTGAAGAGGAGGAGAATATGTGACCTTTAATGTTGGGTCTTTGTAACTAATAAAACAAAGAGTAAGGGTAGATCTGCCCTTTCTTGAGATAACTTCAGCTTTGAACTACACAAAAACAAGATTTACTGACTGATTGTTGTGTAACATCAGTCAGTCATCAACTAGTGACAATACATTTTAGTTAAATCAAGAGAATCCTAACATCCAGGGCTGTGTGTGCACCCTGTAATTACATTTTTATCTCATCTTTCAGAGCTAATAAAAATTTGCTTTGCATTGCGTCTTCACACACTTTAACACTGTAACCTTGTAGCTCAGAAAATCTGAGATTACGCTGCTTTCCCAGCAGCCAGAGGCAGGCGGACAGATTAAGAGAGGAGCTGCTGCAGAAAGTGGAAGGTGTTGAACAGAAGCTCAAAGTAGATAAGTTGTCGGACTCTGAATACGGCGAACAATCGCTTTGTTTGCATTCGACAAAAAGCCAGAAATAACAAAAACAGATTCTCGTGTCCTCCTGTGTCTGTTTATGTAGGAAAGAACTGCTTCTGTGTTAGGAGGAAGAATGTGATGAGCTGATGAGGTGATCTTACCTGCACAGTCACAGAGTCGGCCTGTCTCCTGATGGAAACGGTGTGAAGCTGTCCGTCAGCCAGACTCCTCACTCTGCTCCTCAACACTTCAGCCTCTCTGCTGCTGTCCAGCTTGTATCTCACCTCCAGCATGTCTGTACACACACACACACACACACACACACACACACACGCACACACACACACACACACACACACCATGGGGTTACACTTAAGAGAGAGATGTATTCATCATAACACATAGTTTTTCCAAAATTCAAGGCAACGTTTTTCTTTCATGAACAGCCTTGTGATGTTTTTATTCTTAGTTTCCAATGTATAACTGACTCGGACCACGCCCCCCTACCCAATCGCTGAAGGGCGCGAATCGGGTCCAAAGTCGTCTAATGTGTAGCCATCTTAAGAAGTTATAGATTTAAAAATTAAGATGATATAAAGTATCTAGAGAGGAGTCTATATAATTATTAATAAACCTGTGCAACGACCTGCTGCTCTAATAACAATCTTCTTCCTGAAAGATGCATTAAGTAAAAAGGTTTTGTTTGGGCTGAAGGGGTGTGACGGCAGTCGAGAGTAAAATGAAATGAAGCACCTCAAGGCAAACAAGAGAAAGCTCTCAGGGATTTAATTGGACTCTTCAGTTTGAGTGCATTTACCTGACGACTCCTCGGTCAGCATGAAAACCTTAATGCCTCGCTGTCCATCAGCTTTCTCTGACTCATTAACACCAGAAAAAAAAGTCAATTTGCAGCTAATCTAGCAGCAAAGTGCTGATTTTATTAAACTCCCGGAGGCTGAAAATGTGATTATTTTAAATCCAAAGTGGCTCCGACTTCTCTTAAAAGTCAAACTCACAACATCATTATTTCACACTAAAATTGATAAAAACACATGAACAAGTTTTCTGCTGTTTTATTCAGCAGCACAGTGACCTGCCACCCATTAACGTTTACTCTCTCAGCTTCTCTCCTCAGGTCTCAGTGATAAAACCAGTGAACACTCTTTTCTTATTTCAGCCTGAGACAAAATTAATAGCCGGTCCTGCTGGACGGATTACAAGGAGGTAGAGACTGACGGGGCGAATCAGAGAGAGGAGAGATCTGACAGATCCTGATAGATCTTTTAAAAGCTGCAGAGCAGAGCAGGAGATGAGAAGGAGGAAGGAGGAAGGAGGAAGGAGGAGGACATAAGGAGAGGTCGATATCAGGAGGAGATGACAGGAGCAGGAGACAGGATGAGAGGAAGAGAGGAGGAGAGGTAAAATGAGAGGCTGGGGAAAGGAAGAAAGTAATGGATGAAATGTGTCAAAAAAGAAAAAGTCTTGACAGAGTTTTGATTTAAGGTTTTGAAAATATAATCAGAATAATTTAGAAGAAGAGGGAGAAAACCACAACAAGAAAGAGACTGAGAAGGTATAATGAAGGAAAAGGGGAGGGATGGTTGGGAGAAGGAGGCAGGCAGGAAAAGAAGCTCATAAGAAGCCTTTCATGAATCATGTTCAACCTCAAAATGATTGATGTGAAGTTGATGTTAAAAAAGGAGCGAGGAGGGAAAGATAATCAGAGGAAGGACTTTTTACGATGATGAAATCTGCTGTAAAAAGTATTAAAACTCAAAAGGATGCAGGAAAGAGATCAAAACACAATGAGCTTGAGTGGCAGCCAAAAGGACTCCTTCAAAATAAAAGCCCTCAACACCCTTACCATGCTTGTTGATGAGCAGGGCCAGGTACTCTCTGTAGTAGGAGCTGACGTAGAACAGCACAGCCGGACTCTGATTGGTTCTGAAGCTCAGGGAGACGTTCTCTCCTCTCAGCGTCGTGTCGGAGTAGATGGAGGACGGCAGAGCGCTGCTGTTTCCTCTTAACTCGTAAAGCTCCTTGAACGTGTAGCTGACGGAGGTCTCGGATTTGAAGCTGGCCGACACCTCTGGAGGGAGAAGGAGAGGTTTTTTTGTTGACTTTCAGATTTAAGTTTTGCAACTGTTCACATTCAACGTAGTGTTGTGAGAAGCAGGAGAAGCATGTGTAAAAAGGGCCTTTTATTACTTTATTTTAGAGATAGGACAGTGGAGAGAGAGAGTGGGGAATGACATGCGGGAAAGGAGCCACAGGTCGGATTCAAACCCAGGCTGGTCCCTTGGAGGACTATAGCCTCCGTACATGGGTGCAGGCCCCAACCACCACGTCACATGCGCCAATATTGAGCTCTTTGACAGCACAATAATTCAGGTTTTAAAGGTTTTAGACCTTACTCTTTTCTAGAAATGTGATTTATGAAGCTTAAAGAGTGATCAATAAAGAAAACAACCATAATATTAATGAGTATATTTGGTCGTTTCGTCAACGTTCACTGACCGTTTTCATCCAAACTATGTGTTGTGCTTGTAAACATCATATCCTTACTTTCCGTAATATATATATATTTTTTTAAAGTTATTTTTTTGGGCCTTTTTGCCTTTATTGGACAGGACAGCTGAAGAGAGACAGGAAATGTTGGGAGGAGAGAGTGAGGGTCGACATGTATCAAATGGCCGAGATCAGATTTAAACCCACGGCCGCTGCGACGAGGACTATAGCCTCCGTACATGAGGGCATGATATAACCGCTAGGCTATCGGCGCTCGCTTCAGAAAAGATTTAGAGATCCCAATTTTGCTCCCTGGAGAACTCCGGAAAGAACACATACTGTGGTATGTTTGCGCCTTAACCAGTCTCTGACAACTGCTGACTACCCACGCAGGCCAAGTGACATAACAAAACATGACGGTGGCAACAAGAGCGTCTTACTTCTGAATCAACAAAGAAACTTAATTTTATCTTTTGGTAATGAGAGAATTGAATATGATGAAGTTTAGATGTGAGAAAGTTTGAAGTGCTGAACAATTTAAGTCTGTGGTGAAAGGGCTACCCACCGGTTTCCCAACACGTACATGTGGAGTAACTAGTATTGATCATGTATACAGACATATGAATAACCAGGTTTCTCTGTGTGCATGTAAAAGTTGGGATAAGGTCAAAACCAGGATGCTCAGGTTCATGTAAATTCAGTCTTTGAGGAGAACCTTCAGCATCTTATAACTAAAGCAGTGGGCTTCTGACCAAGCTGTTTTATTTGAAGGGTGATGAACATATATAGAAAAAAAACAGATTCCAAACTTTAATTAAGCCTCTGCGGAGGTGTCAGAAATCTTCTTCCGTCTGATTGGCCGACAAGAGAAGAAAAAAGGGTGTTCTCAAAATATCTACAAAGAGCTGAAATCATTACAAGGATTAATCTGCAGAACCGTTTGGTCCTCGGTTTAATTTTTCAGCGGCAACACAGATGAACTTTTAAAATATCAAACGCAGCCGGTGTGTCACTGTGACTCACAGAGGCATCAAAAACAAACGCTCCTCTCTGACTCAGTACGGCGAGCGGGTGAGTGGGTTCAGTAGATATCAATATTTAGTGGGAGGAGGGAGCGGAGGGTCCTTTTATGAAAGCAGAAACCAACTGAACCCTCTTATGATACTGAACTCATGAAAGGAATAAATGTCAATATGATGATCATTATTGCAGAGTTTACATCAAACGGACACCGTTATGAAGAACTTTGATGTCTTATGGTAGTCGAGGATTTCAAAGCAGTCCAAATGTTCTCTGAAACAATATAGATGTTTAAACTTTCCAACCAGCAGGTGGACTATATGTGGCTGTTTATCATTACTCATACTTTATTTAAATGTGAGCTTCAGGGATTAAACCTTGTTGACTGTCTTTATGCTTTAAAAGAGTTGTTCAAAGTAATCCTTAAAGATTTCAATGAACATTTTTAGCTGAGATTATTCATTTAAAGAATTAAGGAGCAGTTTGTAAATTACACACAGGGGCTCTCAATTAAAACAATAACAAAAGATGACGTTGAGGTTGGCGGGAATCATGGGAGTGATTCTCTCTGCTACTTGACCCACCCCCGATGAAAACGAACTGACCTAGTTGACCACAGTCAAGACGAACGAGTGAAATACAGCACATACAGCAACAGTACGGCAGCTATCAGTGGCAGCTCCGGTGTGCTCAAACAGGCTGTTTGGAGATTTTCCCTTCATGACATCACAAAGGGCAGTAACCCCTCCCCAGGTGGGTGACACTCCCACAGCTAGGGTTTGTTCTGCCCTTTCTGCCTTCTAACTGTAACAATAGGCATGGTGCAAGAAAGCCTGAGCCATCCAGAGAGGGGGCGTGGTCAGACACAGCTCATTTACATATTCAAAGGTACAGACACAGAAACAGCCTGTTCTGAGCAGGGCTGACAGAGGGGTTTATAGACATGATCAAATACAGGATCAGAGTGGATTTAGAACAAGAAACTTCACAGAAATGTTTTGGGGAGCTTTGAGACTTATTTAAACTTATTAAAAAATGAGAATAATATGTGACCTTTAAGCCTCTGTGGATCATGGAATAGTCAACAGCTGATAACGTACACATTTGCATTGACAACCTTATTAGGGCTTTTGTCTGTTAGCTTGTTATGAAGCTCTTCTGTCCTCAAGTGGCATAAAAATGAATGCTCCCTAAAGAAATCACAAAAAGATAAAAAGCTTTTAACTCAAAGCAGCCAGCGAAGTTAATAAATTCAGGATATTTGTGTCTTGTAGACGTGTGTACCTGTGTTGCAGAAGACTCCTGTGTATGCCGACAGGCTGCAGTCACAGTGGAAGCCGTTGGCTCTCTCCACACAGCGGCCCTGGTTTTGGCAGAGCGAGCCGTAGCTGCTGCAGTGACCCGGGCAGCCGGGTCGAACCCCGGGTGTGATCTTCGCCCTCTCCTCCAGGTCCAGAGTGACCCCGTTCAGCTGCAGGGAGCGAATGCAGCCCCGGAAGCCCTTCTGCCTGGACGCTGTGCCTCCTGACAACACACACAAAAAAACAATGCATGACATTAGCATCACATTTACATTTCTTTCTGTCAGATGCAAGACCTCTCAGGCCAGAGAGGTGGCAACTATCTCTGTCTTTAGATCTACAGAACTTGTCTTCCTGCCTCATTTCTTTGCGTGTTGACAAGTCTCTATGTTTTCTTTCTCTCTAATTTTTTAGATTCCTCCTCCTCCTGTCAGCTGCAGCAGATCCTCGTGTCACCTCTGCTCCCCTACAAGCTCCAAACTGTCAACACTCTCTGTATGGAGTGACACAACCCATGAAACAGATCTCAGGCAACGATCTGAAGGTGGAAAACAGTTTTTGACAACACAACTTTCATCATCAGTCCTTCTTCCTGATGCCATCCTGCCTGCTCCGTGTTAAAGTGTCTGCCATGCCTATCAGGACATGCTGCGTGTTCTCCCTTTATTCTTCAAAGCTGCAAAAGAAGAAACTCTTTTTTCAACTTTGTAAATTGTTTCTAAGGTGGAACACAGCCACCTATTGTTTGCAAAGTTCAAACATGACAGCTTCCTATTTCTGCTAAGATCACAGATTCAAACTTCTATATTGTTGCTCAGAGCGCAAACTTGGCAGCTCTTTGCTCTCAGAGTCTAAAGCTAACAACTTCCTATTGTTCAGCAGCAGTCGCAGCTTTCACACCGATAAATCACTGCGCTCTGTTCCTCCCTCTCTCTCTCCTCTAGGCCTCCTCTCTCCGCTCTGGTTTCATGAGTATGAATTATTGAACCAGCTGAGCAACAGAGGATATGAAAGTTGCCTCAACATTTCCTCTGACACAACACCAAGCAAAGTCATTTTTCATCCTTTCTACATTAAACGTTAATTATTGTTCAACGTTAGCTTTTAAGATTTAGGAAAACATTAATGACTGCAATAAAGAAATGACAAACGTTTCTTGTTTGTAATCGTTATAATATACTGAAAGGAGATGACACACAGATGCCCTCACATGCAAACTAAAGACATGACCTTGATTACCACATCGAGTGTAACACAATTATTACATCCTGCTTTCTGCATACATTTCAAAATGTTTTCATGTCGTCACACAGTTTCTAACAGAGTGTTACATTCCTAACAAAGATAGCTCAAGTCCTTAAAGTGTAGACTTTTGATACCCTTGCAATCTAAGCACTAATCGACTTCATGTCTGATGATAGTTTTCAGAGGGCTTCATTGTTGTTTACTAGTGGTTTCCACAGGATCCATGTGTGCAGTGTTCTGTCTCTACCAAGGTTTGGCTCCGTCCAACGGCACACATCCTAACCCGCTGGGTCCGTTTCTGAAGCTAGCAAAGCTATGACCAGCTGGACTCGCAGATAGTTCACAGGGGAACTACCAGATCACACAGGAATAAAGAGAACAACATGTTACTTTGTCTTACAGAGGTTGATTTGCTTTTCATTTGGTGCCTGTTTTGATGTAAAGCTGATCAAGCGAAGCAACATACAATAGGGAGTGAACTTTTACTTAAAAGATTCCCTCAAAATCTGAAATATATCCTTCTTTGCAACAACTGAAGAAACCTTGGCATTTGCTGAAATGTTGACATGGCAGTATTCTTAATGATGTGATCCCAGCAGGGACCCAGGGACAGATCCCTGAGGATCACCACCTCGGATCAAAGCAACGACACAGAGACAAGGGAAATATGATCGTTCAACAAACTCTCCTCACAGCGATGTGATCAGATGGGTGAAGGTTTGAACTCCAGTCATCCTGCAGTTCTTCAGATCCAACATGGATTACGCTCTCTCAACATCAAATACAGACCCTGCTTACACGAGACACTGAAAAGAGCATAATGAGGGGTTTGTGACGAGGAGATCAAAGGCAACATCAAAGAAAATCAAATGCAGATAAACTCCACCTCCGACCAAAGGAAAATAAGCCATCAGGGGGACCTTCAAGAGACTTTCAACCTGACATCAAGTAGAGCTAACTCTTATGTCTCTACACTAAGATCTGCATAGTGTGTACGAAAGCACACGAGAGTGGAGAACAATCAGTGAGATGGAGATGAGAGTAAACATCAAAGGCGTGCAGGTGCAGGTGCAGAGCTCCAAAACACAGAATGATTCTGACCCACAGGAGCTGCATGAGACTGAACAACGTATCAGACAGTAATTCTTATTGGCTGGTAAAGGAGAATTAAAGTCTAAACGTGAAGTTGAGATATTTTCTGAAAAAACAGATCAACACAGTGTGTAAAGGAGGATTTACAGCAGTGAGATCATGCAGATCAAACAAACCATCAAAGGCAGTGTGTGTACAGTACTGTGTGCTCGGCTTATTCTGCACACACGAGAAGAACATATTTATGCATTAATCAATTTTTTATTGTTTTACATCATGTCCATTCCATTGTTGTTTGATGGATCTGTTGTCATCATAAGATTCCCCATGGCAGCATGCTTATATGTTTTTAAGGGGGGTAACGGCTCACAGAGGTCACGGTTTGGTTTTTGTGTCACAGTTTGGTACGAGTTCGGTTCAACAGGAAAAAAAAGAACAAAAAGTCCCTGATGCAAAATTGTAGGTTTCTTAAATGTATTGAGAACTGACAGCAGTGTAAGTTACAGTTTGATCCATCTTTTGTTATTTAGAACTACATGTGATAGTTGGTACAGCCCGTAGTGTACTAAAATAAAAAGAGGAAACAATACAAAATGATGCAAAATAAAATGGACCACAAGTTGAATAAAAAATCTCCTGATTTGAAAATAGAACATTTGAAAATATTCATTTACGATGATACGATGATTTTGTGCAAAATTATCCCTCAACAGAGAACGTCTTCAAACTGATACGAGACTAAAATGTGTTTCATGCAAAGAGGACAAGAAGTACAAAACACACATTAGCAGCTAACTGTGACTCATCAGTAAACATCTTACATCAAACCTAACAGAATAATGTGACATCAATCTTTGTGCATTTGGAGAAACAGTGAAGGAGAAAAGGATTCCACAAAATCCTCATCTCGGAGGATTCTTTCACTCCACCAATCAGCAGAGAAATCATCTCTGTGTTGAGCAAATAATTTCATTTACAGCATTTCACCACGAATAAACAGAAGCTTAACTATCTAACAGGGGAAAATAATTGCTTGCAAACCTTCACAAAGGAAGGAAGGTATATTTGTACTCTCTTGAAAGTGCTGTGTATGGATTTTTTTTAGCACATAAAAAGCCAACTGCATTAGAGGATTTGGAAAATGAACAAAGCTGTAGATTACAACTCCATGCAAGGCAATAACACGGTTTATTAATCCAAACAATGGAACCCACTGTCTTATAAAGCAGGCTGGAATTATGGCTCACAAGCATAAGTGTACACTGAAATGCGGCTCATGAATTTCCACAAACAAACACGGCGGCTTAGATTTCAAACAATGGGAAATCAAAGACTCGGGGAACACAATGCGTGGGGTAAGATGCTTTATGAATTAAACAGGACAATACTACGGCTGCTGAATCCAAATAAGTCAATATTTTTGCCTCACATACTTTTATGACGGGAGGGGTTGTGTGTTCATGATGAAGTGCACACAGTGAGCTAACGGGTAAGTACATTGTAATCCTGCAGAGCTCACAGTAACGCACAGAGCTCCCAAACACAAAAAGGAAGACGTGCTTATAAGTCTCTTTAATATCCATGAAGTGAACTTCTTTGAGGGAACTGGACTCTGTAGGTAGAGTCCACATTCCATGCATAATGCTGCAATGACCCTAAACTTACCTTTGAATATTTGCTGTTTGCTGCATGTCACTCCTACTCTTCCCTTCCTAAATGTCTTACCTCATTTACAGATTTCCTGTTATAATGATGAAGGGAAAATTGCCAAAAATAAAAACATATCTTCTGTGATTCCAGGGGGAGAGTTGCGTCAAGTTTGTAAAAAAGCTTGAGTCCCTCTCAAGGGCCACCATATGAAAAGTACCATCTCCCCTTCCCCTCCTTCTCCCGCTCTTCTTATCCTTGTTTGTTCCGTTTCTCTTTTTTTTTCTGTTTCTTGTTTTTTTAGGGTTTGTTTGCTGAAGTCTATATGAGTTGATTTGTCAGTATTTTGCAATAATTTTTGTCTCCTTGCTTTTGTTTGTCTTGTTTTGTATAATTTTGCGTTTGTACTCTTTTTACATTTGCACATAAAGGAAAAAAGCTAGTGTAAACAGTGTACATAGTGATGTTAATCAGGGGACTCACAGAGGATGTTTAGCTGCCTTAACTGAAACGTAATTTATTTACGTTATACTCTGGTTGACTTTTCCAGAAAGTAAAAAAACATAATCATTGAGTTTGTTTCAGCTGCTGTCTCTTTAAGACCCCCCTTCTTACGTGCCCACTTTCTTCTGATTGGCCGGATCTCTGGACGCTGCAGGGCTACCAGGGGAGGGCTGCTCTCCAGTGCTTCACATACACAGCTTCAATGGCCATCGTAGAGGCGTGAAACTCGTGCTTTAATATCGGGGAACTATCACGTGATTTGCAGATAAAGCATTTAGCGCCCTCTGCAGACTAATCATGGGATTACTCGAACACACGTCACCCTCATGAGCTGAAACTTGTGTGAAAACGGTATGTGAGTTTTAAAATGTGGTCCAGCATAAAAGGTCAACTACAACTGAATTGAATACAATTATATGTTTTAAGTTTGAGTGTTTTTATACTTTTAATTACAGTATAAAGTTGTTGCCTTGTTTTTTTTTTAGATTGGTTTTAAATGAAACTAAGATAGCATGTTGTTATTCATTTAGAAGCCTCATTTGCAATTACATGAAATATATCTAATTTAAGCAAACCAGCGTTGTTGTGCTTATAGTGTATCTTGTTTTATCCACTCACACTGTCTGTATAACCTCGCCTTCTTTTCAGATCTCATACATTTAATTAACGCTAAGCTGGTACATTCAGGATTCAGTGCCTCACTCAAGGACACTATATAAAAAAAAACATATTTACACACTATACTACAAACCTCCATTACCAAACCAGTCAGGGAATCAACACCAGAATGTTCCTTTGCCATCACATTCATCTATCAGACTGGTCCCAGTGTATTGTTCTGGTAGTTCAGAGGTAATATAATACAGGAGCAGGCAGATGGTGGTGACCTCAGAGCAGATTATCAGATAAACGTATTCAGCAAATCAATATTCAGCTCAATGTCCCTGCTGCTGATGCTGCCGCTCCGGCGTCCAATCTCCTCGATGTTTGTTGGTTTGTTTTCCCTCCACACTGTGAGTTTACCGATATGAAAGGGACATACATAATATTTGCAGAATGCTCAAAATCTAATGATGATTTTTTTTCTTCAGGTTTGCAGGGAGTGAGAGGTCAAGTAGAGAAGTTTATTAGTAGAACTGAATGGATCGAGTTGAGGTGAGCAAGGCTGCTGACTTGATGAAGTTCATATCGGAGATTTTCAGAAAGCTGGTGGTTAATTAAAGAAGTCTAAATGATCACTTACACATTATTTAAAAACCCTCACTGCAATAACTTACATCACACACTACCCTGTCTATTAGTGCTCACTGATGCATGCGCTATTTATTAACAGGATTATTGGTCAGTGGTCAGAAACAATGCACTCAGCACTTTCCTATTCAATAGTGCTGACGAGCTAATGGCATTTAGACCGCTGTCATTCATCACAGTTTATTTTCATTTCACTGTACTTATGACCCTGCAGAGGACGAACAGCGAACAACTTGTTTTGGATTAAAGTCTATCGGGTTCACACTGTAGAGCTTTGGATTGAAAGGTATCAGAAACCCTTGTTGGATAGATGTGCAGACTCAGCAACTTTTTTTACATCCAATACTGCTGATCAGACAAGAGGATGAAGCCAATAACAGATTAGCATGAGAGAGAAAGGAGGAAACAATGTGCAGGATTACACCGTGCACTGCATGTTACTGATGTTAAACCTGCTTTATAGGTGGAGCTGTGTGTGGGAGGTGGGTAGTGTTAGACCCCCTTTGAAAAAGAAAAGGTACTCATGCCCTAATGAAAGGATAAACGCTTAGTGAAGAAACCCCTCGTCCCCATTCACCTACTCTCTGGTCATTAGTTGCCATCACAACCAAAACAGCATTGCCATCTTTAAAAGACCCCGGCTCTGTTTATACCGGGTGGCGACAACGTTGATGCTTCCTACCTTACCACATGGCCCCTTCTCACACCCACAACTCAACTGTGTAGACCAATAGGAAGCCAGAGTCAGGACATCACTGTGTTTTTTTCAAATCCTCTCTTCAGCTGTGTTTCATCGAGCAAGTCCCATGACACCTCTGGAAAGCGTCCCAGAGTCGGTCGCCCCCATTCTAGCTCTCAACGCCCCCCACACACCAACACGTAGAACTTCGATATCTGACCTACTCTACCACATGGCCATCACAGCCAAAACAGCATTGCCCCTCTCAACAGACTCAGACTCTGTTCATGCAAGCTCCGGGTAGTGACAATGCTGACACTACCTACTCTACCACATGGCCCCTAATGATCCCCCACAACAATTAATGCAACAATTCCTGGTGCCAACATTACACATTAAGAAGAACTGCAAAGAGAACACAGGAGAAAAATGGAGATAGACGGAGAAAAGTCTGAAGAGAGAGCGACAAAAAAAAAGGGGGAGGCGAGAGAAGTGCAAGGGAATGCGCAAGATCACAGCGGTTTCCCAGCAGTCGCAGAATCAAATCGCCATGCCCAATAAGTAATGTCGAATTTTCCTGACTATTACTTTCTGAATTCGCTTTTTATCAGGGAGCTGCCAGGAAAATATTCTGAATATAGTTGAGGGGGGAAAAATGACCAGAGCAGCTCACCAAATTTCATCTTAAAAGAAGAATAAATGTTTAAAAAAAGAGTACAGATGTGCCTCAGCTTCACCTATGAAGAGCTGGCTGTTGAGCTGCAGGCGGAAGTGTCCGTCAGCAGGAGCTTCCTGAGTGGCCACAGGGAGTCCGTCCAATCGTAGCGACGCCTCCTTGACGTTGCGCTCGGCTCGCACTCGATGCCACCGGTTGTCGTTCAGCGGCTCGCTCGACTCCACGCGAACCTCCAGCGGCCCGTTACCCACGTCGAAGGAGAAGACCACCTGAGTGGAGGCTGAGAGGGACGAGACGGGAAGAGTAGTGAGAGGTGAAGGTGGAATTTATGGAAAGCAAGGCACAAAAAGAGGAAGAAACGAAAGAAATAAACAGACAAGAATTATTTTGTGAACCAGGATGGAGTGATCCTGACAGCAGAATATTTCACAACATTTTAAATGACATTAACAAGTAAAAGGAATCTCTGAGATACATGCTTTCAGGAGAAATGTCTTCAGCTTCTCACTCATTCCCTGACTGATGTATAAACCTTTTTGCTTTTCAATCTCTCTCTGGTCTCAAGGAAGTTCCTTAATTTCAGTTTTGACATCATTATCCTGCGGTAAATCTGATTTACACACCTCAAGGTACATGTATTCTTACTCTCTTCTGGATAAAAACCAGAGCTTGGTTTCACTCTGCCTTTCTTTTGTTTCACTCTTATAAGCTGTCTGCTCAGCTCACAGACATCCTGTCGTATTCACGGGGAACAAAAGGAGCTGCTTTTTGGGGGGAGCACACACTTCTCATCGCTCAGCCTTTGTTATTGGAGGGAGAAGAAGCAAAACAACATGAAGCAATATCCCAGCATCAGACGCTAACTTCATTTAGAGATTGTTCTCTAAATGAGACTTACGGAGCGATCTGAGAACAGAGCTGGAACAAGCTCACTGACAATGATTTCCCAGAGGAAAAAAAACCCGCTGATGGTGCAGCAGTGTCCCAGCGTTAGAATATGTGTTTCTCCATATCCATTTCTCAAACAGAAAATGACCCTTATTACTGATTCAAGGCATTATTATAAGTCTTACTAAACATGTCTGCCCATAAACACGTACCTCATACATAGATGCACTACCATAAGGGTAGGAAAGGACACCCTTGTGCGTATTTATGCCACATTTTAAATGACCACACAGCTAAAGGTCTGCAAAGGCGTAATACCTCATACACAGCCACGGCGTTGTTGGGCCCATAAAGTAAAAAAAAAAAAGAAATACCATCGAGGTTATTGTTGACATTTCTACATAATATATCCTGAGGGTAATAGCTAGGAAGCTATGCAGAAAACATTACACAGAAACAGAAATATTGACTTCAGGAGGACAACAGGAACACACTAGAGCAGTGATTCTCAACTCGTCTGGTCTCAGGACTCACACCAACCCCTACATTTCTGATATTTTTCAACCGATCAGATTCATTTACAGAAACATTGTGCAGTTTGTACCTCGGTCGGTACAAAACACATGACCGAAGTAAGAAACTGAACAAAAGAAATATGTTTAAAAAGAGCTTTTCCCAGACACATTGAAAATATCTCTGCGACCCACCTCTGGGTCCCGACCCACCAGTTGAGAACCACTGCTTTAGACTTATGTTTAAAATTTGGACTAAGTAGCAAAAGTAGTTTTCCTCCGTGTCAGTCATTATTCTGAGGTAGTACAGGCCTCAGGCGCCTGAAGAAGTTTGGCCCGCGGCCCCTAAATCCTCAGAGACTTTCACCTGGGGAACCATAGAGAGCCTCCTGACAGGCTGCTTCACCACCTG